TAGGGTTTTCAAAGGCATTGCCTATTATCCTCACCAAAATAAACTGAAAAAAAGATTAAAACCCGGGAGTATTCAACTTTTCTGAAATTTATCGCAAGACAACCGTTTAGGCGGCCATACAGGTCAGCTTTATCAATTTATAATTCTAATAAACATTGCACTGGAAAAATACTCAGTCATACCTGACACAGTGCGTCATCCACAACCGACATGCCTGCCTTCACTTCGTTTAAAACGTCTACCACTTTTGCAAGGTTGTCGATCACCTCAACGCATTCTGTGTAGGGATTGTAGTTCAATGCGAATGGTCGCCGTATTCCCTGCGTAAAGTGGCTGGATTTGGATGTGAAGAAAACAGGACAGAGTTATATTCGTGTTGTTAGTCTTAATTGTGCCTAAAGTGTAATGTCATTCTGCAGAAAAAAATTAAATTTCAGGTGCTGTACAAAATATGACTATTTGAGCTAACTTTCTGAAGCCTTTCATTAAGAGGTTCATAGTATTTTCATTAAAAGTTAGAGTGGCGCTTTCTTATGAGGCCGCTTTTGTCTGTGATTAATAGTAAAAAATATGCTTCTACGCGCTAAGTAGGTTGCATTTCCGCCTACTTACCCAATTCCTTGATTATGTTAACCAAAAGGAGTTGTTCTACTATTGTTATTGGTCCGTAGACATCCCTTGTTGACCAATAGAAGTTACTCCTGGTCGACTTTTGCTCTTTCCGCTTGCTTTTTATACATATTCCTAGTTCAGCAAAACAATTACAAGCGGCTTTAATTTATTTCGTACTGCGTACTTATCACGTACTAACTACGCCTTAATCAAACATCAAACCTTTAGCCACAATTTCCGTAAGAAAGTTGGGCGGGCGAACGTTTGCCATTAGACAGCCTCACAAGTAAACCTTACCAGACTCAATAGCGAGGGCGACAAGTAGCCGTCAAACCGGCCATAAACTTACCGCATTTTGTCTTTCGCTTCTTCAAAGCTTGAAGTCACAAAGTAGGCATTTTGAAAGGTGGTCACAAGACATTCAGCTTTCACGACCTCCTCGGGTACGAAAGGTTTCTTCATAGATGCATCACTTAGGGCGTGCTGAAACGGAAAAAACCGTAGAAATATCGAATTATTACGAGCTAGTGCGATAGATTCCCCTTTTCTTGTAGTTGCTGTCTACTTAAAAAAAGGATTTGCGGTAGATGAACTGAGAAATGTCTTTCTATTTTATTTAACTAAGTTTTTTGTAAATTAACCTTTTGGCCACCTATTTTTTGGTAGAATTTTCTAAGACTTCCTTATTTGAAGTAGTTAATGTAACTAAGGGAGCTCCTGAAGTATTCAGTTGGCTGAAAGTGAACAACATATTTTATCGCAAACTTTTGATAAGTTTCTATGACTCCATCCCTCTAGGCTGCTCCTATTAGTTAGTTAGCCCTTATGGCTGTTCTTATCGTTTTGGTAAATCACACCATTCAAAGATGACCATCTTTAAACACATATCTATTTAACGCCACATTCTGACGTTACTGGTCGCTTTGTTATGAGAGAGCGTAGGTATGCCTGCCTTCCTCCAGTCGTCAGGAGATTGACGACCATGCAAACTTTGACAGAAATCGGGACAGTTCAGTAAACCGTAGTTCACTGATCATTAGTAGTGTACCAATACTTAGCCACACTCAAGTAGTGGCACAGTTGACGAGGAAACTGAAATTCTCGCAAGCGTGTCCCCATCCAGGTGGTTTCTTAAAATGGGTTAAGTAAAAGCGAAACGCCAGCCCAATGTAGTAGTCAAAGTCTACAAGTTATTAGATAAATACCCACTTAAAAGAGGTAGGTGTTGGACTTTTTACCTTCAACTCTCCGATGGAGGATAATAAACCCGCCCCATAAGCGCGCAGCTCTCCATCCTCGTGACACAGTCCAAATTCCACCGTAAAGAAATAGACCTGCGAGTATTTAAATAAAACAAACAGTAGGCGTTAATAAGTAGCAATTATTTTATGAATTTAGACTAAAAGAACTTTAAGTAAAACCAGAGGCAAGTGGGCTCTATCAAAAAGCAACCATGGTATTTCTTCTGGAGAGTGATATTAAACAAACACTTGTCCACGCATGCAACTATTATTAAACTGTAAGTTACACCATGAAAATCGAATAAATTAAAAGTGAAGTTTATTTCAGGTGTTACCGTTACTCTCTTCATTACCTAAACCAACCGCGTCCACGCGGATCCCTAATGTGCCGTCCGAGCGTGCTAGTTAGTTGAACGCTTGCATTAGTCCTTTTACATTCACTATTCACTACATGTTCACACATTTTCATACCAATATGCCTTGCATACGTATTTGACTCAGTCATTCTTTTCTTCCTTATACTCCTTACTCCTTTTTGATGACACCGTCGTCAAACTTTCTACCACAAAGTTCATCGGGACATTCCATGACAGTTATTTTAATTATTAGAAGGTTCGGCAGATTTTCTTACTTTTAATTGAACCAATTGTGAAAAAACTCGAGGCGTTCGGCGGGATTTGAACCCGCGTAGTAAAGAA